ACACAGAGACAAGGGAAAATACCTCACAGATGAAAACAAAAGAAGGTACATTTTTACAGGAAGAATTCAATTGGATACTTAAGTCTGTCTTAAATGATTAAGACCAAAGCTCTCGCACAACTGTTCCCAGCCATCCGGGGGGAGCAGGAAGTCTGAGCCGCAGAGAGGCTCCCGGGAGGAGATCTCCCATTTCATCGGTCTATCCCTGCCGAAATGGAAGCGCTGGTTTTTTAAATAGATCCTCACCTAGAATGAGAGTTAATCCTTCAGCGGAACACAGCATCACATTTTCAAAACTACAAACAAGCCACTGACTCCAGGCAAAAAGAGCAGATGCTTGACCACTGAGCTCTTTGAAATTAAAACTCTTCACACACTCCAAGAAAAACAGAAGGATATTTTCCCCACTGGCTCTGCGGATCACACCTCAGGTTCCACTTCACGTCAAACCCAAACACACATTGACCTGCGAGGACAAAGCTGTTTAAACACTCAGGCCATGTAATAAAATGACTCGACGGTGCCAAGATTTCATTTAGTTCAGACAGGGCTGCGTCTCTGGCTCACGGGCCCCTCCCGCTCTAACAACAAGCATCTTATTCCAGGAAAGATTATGAGCCAATTATCAGGAGTTATTTCACAAAACTACTCCTGAGGAGACGGGCGGCCTTTAAAGAAAACCAATTTAGAGTGTTTTAAAAATAAAATAAAATTCAAGAATAGCAGACTTCTGTTTTTAAAATGTGTTCAACCCAATAAGTTTAATTATTTTTTTTAAGTAGCAGAGGAGTTGAGCTTCCAGGTGCAATGAGCTAAGTGCCTAAAGCCACATAATTCAGGGCCCATTGCAGAACGAACACATGGACCCTCGCTCGAAAATTAGGAATTTCAAGATGGCAACAGTAAGCCAAGTATAGGGTCTTTCTGAGTGGGGCACACAAGTAGGACGCTGCCCAGGTGGGACGCACAGGACACCAGAGCGGGCCAGGTTGCCTTGGACCTGCCTTTGCATTCCAGGCTGCCATTTGCAAACCCTGGGTGGCCACCGGTGCCCAGCAGGAAGAGAAAGTACACAAGGAAGAAAGTGCACAAGAAGACTTCCATCTTCTCATTAGTTAGACTACAACTTTGACATGGGCTCACTGTGGCGAAGTATGAGAATTGTGGGCTTTTATCTTTTTATTGATTTATTGGGGTGACATTGGTTTCAAGGGGACACATCTATGACACATGACTCTGCACATTGCAGAATCATGTGCTTTTTAAACATTTAGAAAACGCTGCTTTTTGTCAGGACTCAACCCTTTTTGTCCCTGCTCTGTATGAGACGTCTCCAGAACGCACACCCGTTCCTGCACCTGTGCAAGAAGCCACTGCCTTCTTCACCTTTTGTTCATCGAGAGCTTGCCCAGGGACACACAGCTACTCTGACACCTGAGTGAGCTAAGGGCCCTCCCTCCCTGCAGAGGGGTTCACAGAAGGGTGCCCTGGGGCCCACCCCACTGGGTTTGCACACTCAGTCTCTCTCTCAACGAATGTTTACAGCACCTGAAACCCTTCCAAAGAAAACTGAAAATTCCACCCTCCACCAGACATTGCCGAACACTCGGTCTCTATGTTCCCTCCTGAAAACCAAGCCAATGAGGCACGACGTGGACCGACAAACGCGTGCTCTGCTGAGCCAAACAGCGGGAATTTGGGTTTGAACCTTCCGCATCTATCACAGTTGGGTGCTCGGTAATTCTGACGTCTGTTGAAACTAAAAAGTCTTTCGCCCTCAGCAGGGCTGCTTCGGTTTACAGTGGGGCTATTCCCTGTCCAGAAAAACCACGGCGCTCCAGTGGAAAGGATTTGGGTTGCTTGCCATCTGGATTTTATTTTGCTTTTTTAAAAATTATCTTTAAAGGTAGTTAATGTTTGAATAGATAATACATTCACGTGGTATTAAAAAGTGTCAGTAGGTATGTAGAAGTTTCTCTCCTCCCCGTCCCATTGGTCGCCAGTTTCGGTACAGGGTTTCCCGTGCTGTTGAAAGGTTATTACGCAAACACAGCAAACACACATTCTCCCCGCCCCTTTTACCCGAAGGGCACGGTACCCCACACCCTACTCTGCACTGTACTTCCCGACACAACACTCTTCCCCAGAACTGTGTGCATCGGTGTATGAAGAGCACGCCCCTCATTGCATTCCATTGTATGAACATCCTGTGACATCCTTAACCCATTTTCTCTTGGACACTTCTGATGCTGCCAATATTTGACTGTTATAAAATGACCCAAATCTATTGTTCCCATGTGACCTAGCACAGTGCCCGAGGCCAGCGCTGTGACAAGTCAGTCCCCGGAGTCCCACAGGGTCCTCCAGACACAGTGTCTCCGTCGTGAAAAGCGGGTTTGCAGCTGGTGGCACCGGTTCTGATCCCACGGGAGTTTGGTGCCGGAGGTTTTCCCTCTTGGCCAAGTTCTTCCAGAAATTTTTTCTGAGAATTTGCCTCCAAACTAAGGATGTGTAACCCTTTTTTCCCAGTTTACAAGAACCTATGGGTACAGATTCAAACAAGGTCCAAGCTGTCAGAACTGTGAAAGGCCCACAGATACCTTTACATTTTTCACTCACGTTTGGTTCTTTGGATTCAAGGTCCTTTATATGTTGAGAGATGTGCAAAGAATGAACTAATTTTAACAGCAGAAAGCACCTCACGAGAGGACTACCCCCTCGGAGGTGCTCAGTAAACAGCAGCTCAAAACCAACGAGCCCGTCACACCCACCTCCCCCAGTGAACAGCATGAGCGCCGACTGAACACTCAGAAGATACAAATGAACACAGGAAAAGTCAGCGTGCTGCCTGCGACCCACGTTGGACCCCCTCCACCCCCAGTTTCTAGGTTAACGTGTGGTGCCCTCCAGTAGACTTGCACCCCGGGGCTCGCCGCCACACCAGGTGTGCGGCTTCTAGAATAAAAGCCTCCCATCGAGGCCTCGGAGAGACCTACCTGTGCCGGCGATGCTCCAAGTGTGGTCTCGCCAGGGACCCCTGGGAGTCTCAGACCTCGGGGGCTCCGTGAGGTCGAAGCCATTCTCCCGCCAACACTGAGGTGTCATTTGTCTTTTCCACTCCTGCGCTCTCGGTTCCGGTGGGGTTTCCAGAAGCTCTGTTGTGCAGAATACTGCAACAAGGGGAACACAAAGGCAGACGTGAGAGTCCAGGGGTCTTCCGCTTCCACAGGAAATCAAAGGGGCTTGGAAAATGCAAAATACTGCTGCTCTTCCTACTAGGATATCACGTTAGGGAAAATTTACCTTTTTGATAAAAATCTGTCAATGTGTAATACGTTTATTGTTGCTTTTTTTTAATCAATCTTTTTTAATTTCTCAGTTCTACTTTCTAATCCCATAAAGACCATCTTTTTAGCATAACCCACAAAAATAAAAGCTCTCTGAGGTCTTCAGTCATTTTTGAGAGTGCACAGGCATCCCAAACCAAAACGTCTGAGAGCCCATGGCCCACACAACAAATAGAGACACGTGGATGGTGAGTGTGTTAACGGGCCGTTCCAGGAGGTCAGCGAGCCTGTGTGTCTAGTTCGCCCTGGTGTTCCCGACCACAGCGTGGTCCCTACATGGGGCGGGTGTCCGGTGTGTGAACGAGAGAAGCTGGGAAGGAGCGAGGAAGGTAGAAGACCTTCCCACGGAGGATTATGAAATAGCACAACTGAGTCAAACAGGAAAACTCCCAAAAGTCAATGGCGAGTTATTTGCGGTGAGTTGCTTACCAGTGAAGAAGGCGGGCCAATGGGAGAAGACCGGAATCTGTGCTGAAAAGGAAGGAGGGTCCCTGGCTGGTGCTCCAGGAAGAGCCCCCAGGCACGCCACCCACCACTGGCCCCTGTGTGGGCAGCCAGGGGTGTCCAGCTTCCTGGGCCCACCCTCTGCAGTGCAACACTCGTCCTCACCCACACGCCCTGTGGTTCTGATGAGAATGCATTTGGGACCCATGCCCGGGGGCGCCACTGCTGGGTGCACCACTCCCGGGGCTCACCTCGGACTTAGATGCAGTGGCTCAATTTTGTCCCGAGTGCTGCCCCTGGCGAGGCCTGAGGGCGCCTCTGTCCACCCACCCACCAGCACTTAGCCCTTGGAGCCTTCGAGTGCTTCTTAATTATCCTAATAGATCTCATTGCTTGCTTTGCATTCCTCCCACTCCTAATAAGGGTTTCCTCGTGTGCTTGAGTGGGGTCACCTCTCCTATAAAGCACCTGTTTATACACTTCACCCTTTTTTTTAGAATCTCCCCGGCAAGTACAAACAACCTGGCCACACCAGGGGTAGTGTTAGAATTTGAATTCCTTCTCTTATTGGCTCGTAGGTGTTTCTTGTGTGTTCTTCACTGGCTTTCGTGGCAGACGTGGTCCCTGAAACCTGACACCTTCTCTAAACACGTGTCTTCACCTTTGTTCCTGGAGTCCTCCAGGGCAACACAACCCTTTACTGCCTTTTTTCTTTTTTTTTACTTATGACTGAGCTTGCACATTTTTCTACTAATCTTTTCCCACCTCTTGGGCCAAGGATATCCTCCCACATTTTCTCCCATTGAATTTGAGGCTTTGCCTTCCACTTCCAGTTCGTTAGCCCAGTTGGACTCAAAGCTGGTGATGAAGTGTTTTTATATTGCAAAATCAGCAGCACAGTAGCCCATGGATAAGAGCCAGGCATTTCCTGGCCAGAGGGTGGCCGTCTTGAGCTTGCACCGCTGGGGGCCACTCATGGGTATATTCTAAAGTCTATGGTTGGGGGTCGGGGGGCACGCAGGAAGGGCAGGGAGGATCCTGCTAATGGAGCCACACCATTCAGAGCACCTGGGAAGAACATCTTGGCCTTCCTCACCGTGACAAACCCCCACCCAGCCCCAGCATGCTGTGGCCATCTTGTTGGTACACAGTTTCTGGGAAAAGGCACCCTGTGGCTCACCCCAGCAAGGCAGGTGCAGCTGTCCTCAGAGCCGTCCCTGAAACGCTGTTCCAATAACCGGGCCAGGCATCTGCCAGAAGCTGGTGTCAGCACTTTGCACGCTTTATGCCGGGACCTTTGTTGTGCAAGTTCCCGTCAAAGCCTTGATGGAGACGCTGCGGGAAGTGTTGAGACATGGCCGGTGAGCATTCCTCGGGCTGGCTCCTGCCACGGGGCGCGGGGTGACACACTACACCCCGAGAAACCGATGTTCTTGGCCAACCTTCCAGCTCCTGCTCCAGGAGCCCATTAACAGCCTGTGTGTCTCCTGACCCCAGCCCTTCCCTTGAGGGGAATCGGGAAGGTGTGACCGCTTTTTATCCAACTAGGGCAAAGGCAGGGCCACGACCGGAATTCTCACTTTTAAAGCAGCAGCCCAATGTGGAATCTACAAAAAGCAAACTCATAGAAACAGAAAGTGAGATGCTGGTTGCCAGGGGTAGGGTGGGGGGCACAGGAAGAGGTTGGTAAAAGGGTGCAAAGTTTCAGTTATAAGATGAATATACTACACTGCATAATTGAAACTTGATAAGACAGTAGAACTAGGTGTTCTCACACACACACGAAAAGGTAAACACCATAATTAACTCAATGGTGTGACTCTTTCCCTAAGTGCATGTGAAATAATCACACTGTGCACTTTATGTTACAATTTTGTCAACCAACCTCGATAATGCTAAAAATGAATAAATAAAGTTGTGACCCAGTGGTGGGGTGGGGTTCTCACTGCCCTCCCAGACCCAGATGAAGTGAGCTTGAACCCCCAGTTCCATGAAGGCTGTATTGGTATGAAGTCATCTCCGTTAATTCTGATGGTCCCCACGGTTGTGGCCAGAGGTAGTGTTAGGCCAGGTTGTTTGTACTTGACGGGGAGATTCTAAAAGAACAATGCATGGAAACATTCTCAGTGAACAGATGGGCAATCACACCGGTCACTGGTAGGCGTTTTTGCTTCCTCAGGACATTTTCCTACTGACCACCTTTCCACATCTAGTCTGTCAGCCTGCAGAGATGACACAGTGAATGTGGAATCCTCAGGGGCAAATGGTTCAAGAGCCCTACAGTGGACATGACCTTTTGGGAACATGGCTAAACCTGTCCTGGTAAGTGCTGAACCAAAGACTCCACAGCTGAGGGAGGAACATATTCACGGGCTTGGCGTTGTCCTCTTGAAGGAGAAAAAGAAATGAAGCTCGTCTTTCATTTTAGTTTCATCATGGGTTGTCCAAACTTTCCAATGGACCAAATGTCAGTCTTATTCACTCTATAGCTTAAAAGGGTGACATAAACACTCTGATTTCATATGTTGCCCCTTGGGAATCCAAACTATCAAAATCACAAAGGAACTTCCAGACTTTTCTTACGTGTTCATCTTTTTGTCAAGTTGATGATGAGGACATTGAAATATTATAATACCATGGTTGTGTTTGGGAGGGAGAAACTTTCCTGTACCCTTCTAGGTTCTTCCAGATGTTGTAAGAATGAAATCCAGGTGACAGATTATTGAGAGGAAATAATCTAATTTAATTGCACACATACATACAGGAGCCTCATATATGTGAGAAAGTCTGAGACCCCACATATTTGAGAGGCTCCAAGACAGAAAGTGACAGTGAGGAGTAGATGACTTTCTGGGCTACGAGGGAGGTCAGGCACCTTGAGACCTCAGTTGCTACGGGATGGGAAGTAGAGCAGGTGCTCAGTGATTAGATGTTTGCCCAGCCTTATAGACAGCTCATAAAAAGTTATTTGTGATAATAACTCTTATTATGATCAACACCCCAAATTTAAATTCTTTAAGGGAGAGGTAAAATCTTCTAGTGAGTCTGCAGGGTCGCAATTACCTCCAGCTCAAAATAATTCACATGCCAAAGCAGCATGCCTTGGGAGGCCTGTTCTGAAGTGAAGAACAGGCCTCTCCAAGTGAATCCTGCAAAGCATGACTCCACCCACCAAGCACACAAGAATTCAGGCCCAACAGACACATAAACCCAGGTTTGGGGGATGCTGAGTGACAGGTGTCCAGACATTTGCAGAAGCACCTTTAAAACAGCCTTTAAGGACTTGCCATCAATAAGGTCAACTTTGGCAAAGACCTCTCTACACACCCCCTCCCCCACTCCACACAAACTCACTCACTGTCTAATCACAGAACTAGATATTAGGGTAGTGTTCTTGATGCCCCCACAAAATAGTTCAGCTTAGAATTAGTAGTTAGTGTCTAATTAACTATAGGTTGTATAGCAGGAATGAAAGCACTCACTGCATTTAAATAAACACTCAATGTCTTTTATAAGCATTTTCCCTTAGAGCGAAGATGCATTGCTCTTGGCTAGCTTGAAAATAGATGGGGTCCCACTTGAAAGCTTCCAGATCATCAGCACCTGGCTGGGGCTTTAGACCAGTAATGACCACCTATACACCCCCGTTAATAATGGTAGCAACTGTTTCTTCCCAAGATGGTTCTGTGCCAATACCTTACAATGAAAAGACTAAACAGAGAAACACACATTGAATTACCCTGTCAATCCCAGTGACGCATATCCTCCAAGTGACCAAATATTCATTGTTTCACAATTCAAGACTGGACAGGGATTGGCTTTTCGAGAAGGAGACCATCACAGGGTATGTCCTAGAACTGCATGAGACCCTACTGAGTGTCTGCTCAGTGCTAAACAATATCTTTAGCCCTAACAACAAGCCTGCCGACAAGGCATATTAACCTTTTGTTATTTATCAAGCTCAAAAAAATTAAATAACTTGTCCAAGGTCAACTAGCAACAACCAGAATTCCAATTTTGTCTGACCCAGAACTATTGGTCTGTATTAGTCTGCTCAGGCTGCCATAATAAAATACCATAGACTGGGAGGCTTAAAAAAACAGACATGTATTACCTCTAAGTTTTAGAGTCTGGTAAGAAGTTCATGACCAAGGTACCAGAGTGGTCTGTCTCTGATGGCAGCTCTCTTCCTGGCTTGCAGCCAGCTGAGCACTCTGATGTCCCTTCTTATAAGGACACTAATTCTATTAGAACAGGGCCCCACCCTTATGACCTTGCTTAACCTTAGTTACTGTCTTAGGGGCCCCATCTTCAATACAGTACACCCTGGGGGAGTTAGGGCTTCAATAAAAAAAAACTGGGGGGGGGGTGAGGGAGCACAAACATTCACCCATAATATAGTGTTTCTGCCATATCACAGTGCCTCTCTATATCAACACATCCATTAGCAAAACTAACATTAAAACTTTAGATATTTTTAGTGACAACCTCATAGACAGAGACTCATGTCTTCCCTGGTTTCAATATGTTCTACTATTAAACTTTTTCTTCCTTATTTCTGAAAGATAAGAAAAACAATCAAGAAACAAGAATTCAAATGATCAAGGGAGCCAGTCTTTTTCTTGAAGCTGTCCAAGAATTGTTTTCAAATCATCACACCTCTATTTTAATCCTGTCTGTTTTAGGTATCACACATATTTTCTCCTGTGTCACACCTGCGCATCTGTGTGGGCTGAGGTCTCCTTCATTGAACAGAAAGTCTTCATTTCAATGTGATCACTAGGATCTCTGCAGAGATGCTGGGAGAACAAAAGACGACTTGGCCCCTGGCTTCCCTGGGCTTGCAGACACAGCTTGTCAGCTTAGCCATCAGCAGGGCCTGTGCTAAGCAGCCCCACCCGGTGCTGGACACATCCAACATATCCGTTCCTCACTCAGAATGCAGGAGAATTAGGATATTCCCAAACAAATGTTGTGCTACAAGCCCCTGAAAGACAGGAACCAGAGAGAAATAAACCTCCTCCCAGCTGTGAAAGATATAATCTTCTTTTAATATTATGAGTCCCCAGCAGAGCCAAAGTCGTTTTCGTCATTTCATCACACTCAAGGGACTTCTGGCCCCGGGAGAGACTTTGAAATATACGGGCTGGGATTTCAGGCAGTCGGGCTCTTTCCTGTCTAAGGCCCCGGGGAGTGCAGATGGCTGGGCCTGAGTGTCGTGGACAGCACGGAGGGGCCCGGAGGCAGCGCTGGCTCCATCACTCAGCACTCAGTCACATGCCAGCACCAAGGCACATGCGAGATGAGCGAGGCACATACTGGCAGGATGGCTCCTCCGTCTAAGGGGGTGGCAGGTGGGGAAACAAGTGCGTGAAAGAGCAGACGGCCCGGTGGGAGCACAGGGTGCCATGGGGACAGCAAAAGGGAGCAGCCCAGGGGCTCAAGGTGCCTTCAGAGAAAAGGGGAATCCAGCTAAGCCTTGAAAACAGAAGAAAAGTTAAGACCATGGCCTTGAAAGAGACTGACAAGGGGCCAGTGTCAGCTTCCAGCACTCCCCGGCTGTGTGGCTTTAGGAGTGAGGTAACTGGCAGGGACAAATGTGAGACCTGGAAGAGAGGGACTGGAAGTGGCCAGGGCTTGCGTCAGGGCCCGGCGCCTGGCTCCCGTGCAGGACAAGTGTTTGCGGTGGGAGAGGTTTACTGTTGAGAACAGGGGTCCGCTGAAGATTAAGCGTCTTGACCTCAGGACAGAGGGATTTGCTCAGGCCTCAGGCTCGGGGGGAGGGGGAGGGACCAGGCTGAGAAAAGCCAGCGTGAGGGCACGTCCAGCACTTTCCAAGGACATCTCGGGTCCCTTCCAATGGAGGTGAAAAGCTTGCTTCCCACAGCGCCTTTTCTTATTTCTATTGTGGTGAAGTGTACAAAACCCAAACTGTTACCACTTTGACCATTTTTTCGGTGAAGAGGCCAGTGGCATTAAGCATTGACACTGCTGTACCCCCACCATCCATCTCCAGAACTTGCTCATCCTCCCAAACGAAAACTCTCCACCTTGACTGCATCCTTTGAAATACAGAACTGTTTATTTTCATGGCATCTAATTCATCTATTTTTCCTTTGGATGTCTGTGCTTTGGGTGTCATGCCTACGAAGGTTTTGCTTAACCCAGGCTCATGAAGACTGACCCCTGTTTTCTTCTAAGAGTTCTTATAGTCTCAGCTCTTACATTTAGGTCCTTGGCCAATTTTGGCGGATGGCGTGAAGAAGGACTCCAGCTTCCCTCTTTCATCTGGGAATATTCCCTTGTCCCAGCACCAGTCCTTCTGGGCACCCTGTGTTTTTATTTGCTAAACCTTGCAAATATAGTCTGAGGTTTAGCAACCCAACCAAAGCATGAGGCGTCTTCCATCTTTGGCATCTCTGGTTGATCTTTTCTGGGGAGGTGCTACCCCATCTTTCCCTCACAGGTGAATTAACATCTTTCTGTGACCCATGGTCTTACACTCGAGGCTGGGGCTGAGTTGGGGAGCCTGCCAAGCCAGCCTCTGGTAGCGCGTGTTGAGAACTTCCCAAGTTCACATGGCCCTCATCAGATTCAGCTTCTCAGGTAGGTTTCGATGATCTGGTCCAACCTCCTATTCTGCTTCAAGGTTGCTGCTGAAACAAGCTGAAACTCTACAATGTTCCTTCTTCCCATGAGCAGCCCCCACCAGTGCCTGTGTCGGATACTTCCTCCCTTTTAACATGTGAGCGTTTCCAGGATGGGAGGCACCAGAGTCCTGTCTTCCCTCTCCAGGCCGTCAGAGCCCCGCTAGCTGTACCCGCGGGGCTCTCTGGCCTCTGTAGCTGACAGAGGTCATTTTTCCTGCCCACTGCCACCTTGGTGCCCAGGAATCCCCCCTCTAACCTGCAGGCCATCGGCAAGATTGCACAGAGTCTGCCTGAGGGACCTAAGAGAAGCCTGTTGGATTGTGTCCCGACAAGCTGGCACAGCCATTCTCTGAGAAGAGACCCAGTCCAGTAGCTGTGCTGTCCCAGGTGCCTGGCATTTAGCCTCAAGGCCAAATGGGTGATTTACTTTAAGGTTCAGACTCAACACAGCTCATGACTTTCTTCTGAGCCCCTGAAGTCACTTCCCCAGACTAGCTCTGGTGTCCATACGAGATGACTTATTCATTAGCAAGGGTGAATAATGCCTAAATATACCACTGGGTTTACCACAAAGCCCTGCTTCAGGGTACATGACGCAGAGCCATCTCACCCGCAGAGCTGGAGTGAAGCAAGCACCCTCAGTGCCTTCAAGTGTCTTGATTCATACCTGAGAATCAAGACCGAACACCTCCAGGGCCCCGTGGCCAAGGGCGGGGGGTGGTCAACATGATTCCTCAGGGTTTAGGTTAATGGGAGTCTCAGTTCTCTCAATGGCCCTAGGAGGAAGGCAAAAGAACTAAAAATATGTTCACCTTCTCCATTCAAGAGTATGTTTTTTCTACCTTCACAATGGAAAACATACCATGAAACTTTCACTTTATTAAGAAATTTTATCATCACAAGTAAACGTCAGTGTTTCCCTTACCATTGTAACAGAGAGAGAGAGAGAGAGAGAGAGAGAGAGAGAGAGAGTGTGTGTGTAGAGAGAGTTCAAGGAACTGTTGTATGCGATTGTGGGCTTTGGCCGGGCAAGTCTGAATCTGTGGGTGGACTGGGAGCCCTCGGGCAGGAACCAGAGCTGCAGTCCACGGGTGGGACTTCCGCTTCCCCAGGGAAGCCTCAGACCTGCCCTTGTGGCCTTTAGCTGACTGCATGAGGGCCACCCACATGATCAAAAATAATCTCTTTTACTTAAAGCCCAAGTCAGCTGATTGTTGGTGTTAAATCAATATCACATCTTCAAAATACCTCTACAGCAACACCCAGATTAGCATTTAGTCACTGGATGAACCCCTGTGTACTCCAGCCAGGCCAGGCTGACACAGGAAACAGACCATCGAACCATGCAGTGCTTCCTGTCAGTGGGGGAGGGGGTGTCACCGGCACTATTATTTCCTAGGCAAAGAAGCCAAGCCAGGCAAAGAGGATGAGGAATCTGCTAGCCAACCCAAGGTCACAGAGACAAAATAGCTGAACTTAGAGGACACTAAAGAGTAAGTCTGTGGACCAAACTTGCACTCAGGCCAGGGCCCAACCTGGGCATCCAAAGATCACCCAGGGTTCTACCCACCTCCAATGCCTCGTTCTTGCCATCCCCCCAGTTCTGGGTATGTCTCACCTGCTTAAAACTCCACAGGGGCTCAACAGCACCCGCAGGAGGAAACCTGATTCCTTAGCACAAAGCGGAAGAGTGCTCATAACACAGCCCTACCCACCTTCCCAGCTTCCTCTGCCACTGAAGTTGGCCCCCTTGACTTAGGCAGTGACCCTCACACTTCAGCTTCGCCATGTCTTTGTACCTTTGCACATGCCTTTGGTCTTCTGGCTTTGACCTCCTGAAACTCCCATTTCACCCTCTAAATCCACCTTAAGCACCACCACCTGAGAAGCTCCCAGACCCTCTCCACACTCCAAGTCTGTTCACCGCACCACAAGCCCCATTCAGGGGGGAGCAGATGCCCCGCTGTGGCCCACCAGCACTCCCTGCATTCCTCTGCCCTGTCCTGTTCTTCTCAGAGTATAATTACACTTTCATATTTCCTAAGCTGGGACACTGAGAAACAAATTAGTGCTGTCTTTCGTGTGTGTGTGTGTGTGTGTGTGTGTGTGTAAAGATAAAACAGAGGTGGGCAAACTGCAGCCCACAGGGCAATGTGGCCCATGGCCTGCTTTTGCAAAAAAAAGGTTTACTGGAACGCAGCTGTGTCCATTCAAGTATTGTTCACAGAGGCTCTCGTTTATGAAATGGCAGAGCTGAGTAATTTGTGCAGGTGACCAGCAAAGCTTAAAATACTCTTGAATCCTTTACAAGATCATAGATTCATCGATGAAAAGTTACTTTTCCTCCTGCCCCGTCAGGAATGTAGGCATGGTCCTTAGTTCTGGAACTCCCTGCGCCTAGAAGGTTAGCGACAGCTGTGGGGTTCCAAAGACTGCCCAGGAAGGCCTCCCCACCCCTGGCCTTTGTTAGGAGAAGGACACCCAGGAAGGGGCAAGTGCTTCATGGAGAAGACCCTGGAGGCAGAGTCTTCGATTGGAGGGCACTCCCAAAGGTCCTTGAAGTCTATGTGTGCATGGTTGAGTGCCAGCTCAGTCCTCACTGACTTGCTGCCCTCGGTAAACCCAGGGAGAAGGTTCCGCAGAATCAGAGGATTCCTCTCAAGAACTTTGAGATTCTCAGAAATTTGGTGTGTAACCTAGAATGCATGACTCTTTTATGACATTTGAGGCTTTGGAAAGGGGACATCGGGTACTCACTCCCCAAGGAAAAGACCAGCCGTGGAGGATCAAGGGAGAAAGAGACAAATTCCCCCCCCCCTCATCTTCAGATCCCCAAGTCTCCGGGGGGGGCCCCAGTCCTGAAATCGTCTACATCTTTGTAGCCATGGGACCCGCAAGCAGACTGATGCCCAGCAGGAGCCCACGAACCCACAGTGACAGAAACTAAGGTCCAAACAAAGATCCATTCAGCTGTCATTTCTCCATTGATAGGTGCTCTGCTTCCCAGATTAATAAATAGCTCCAGTAATTTCAAATCAGAACAAGAGCTCAGGAGAAAATTTCATTTGGATGCGAGCCAACGGGCGTGGAGCAGGCTGTCTCTGAAGACCTAGTTGTGGGACTGAGCCCCACCCTGCAGGCAGGTCTTAGAAGGAGAGTCCAGCCACCCAAGGGCTGAGACTTCAGTCCCCCCACTGAGAGATGGTCAATGTCCATTTGGGCTGCCTGTTCTAGCTGGGCAGCTGACATGAAATACTTGTATCCCATGGTGAAGATCCCATTCATCTCAAATATGCACTTCCCTGGGAGG